CCGGTAATCATGTGCCTGGAGGCCTGTGCGACCCTATAATGCAACACCTTTATCCGAACCGACGTCGTCTTCTACTTGCTGGAAGAGGCCAAAGCACGGCCAACATGCGCCCAGGTGTTAGACTACAGCGCAGGGATGATTCCTGCTATTAGCAGTCTGCGAGTTTAGTGCAAAATACATATCAAAGTGGGACGCAAGACATCTCCGCCTGTTTACAACTCAAGCTGGAACGCACCGGCAGTTGTAAATAGGAGGAGTTGTCTTGCGTCCCACTTTGATATGTATTTTTTCGATGTGTATTTTTGGTATGTGCCTTGTTATATATTTTTTGCCATTTCGCTTTTGACTAGAATGTCTTAAAATGTTGCTTGTTGATATTCAATATAAATAATTCTGGTTTGTGAATTTTTATTGCTGAAAGCAAAACGATATCTACGGACTATATTTATGTGTTTTTTCCCCTACATAAACTATAATAACCCAAAACTGAGATTATTCGTTAACGAAGCGTCACCCAAGCTGAAGCTGTTTCAGAGAAAATCTGGTACGGAATCCTGAACAAGCAATCAACGCATTAAAAATCCACAACAATCCTGTTGATCCTTGCTTGTTTTGGTGCTTAGTTCATGGATCGTCCTTTTTAAATCCTAACTGATAAAAATAATTACCAAAAGGAGCTCATACGGTACCGGGAACAAAAATACGTCGGTAAGCCAGGGTGTCAGCACTTCTTTCCCAAAAACGAGGAATGCTATTGATGCAGTGCTGATCGCTACCGTCGGGAGATGTGCGTCGGCGGCGCGCTCCACCAGATCTCGAATCCTCTAAAATGTTACTGTTACCTGAACAACAGCTAATAACACTAGATGCTGACAAAAGAAGCAGTGATCTGGAAAACTGAAACGCCTAGCAATGTGCTAACATAAAAAAGACATCCAGCTCCGTTACGCTGCGGAATCGAAAGGCCCATTATGTGGCTGATTTGCGCAAAGAATACGTGCACGGCGCCTCCAATAACGAATCCGGACATGACTTGCTCCGAGAAGTAACACGTTAAGAATTCCAAACGCAGAATGCCCATAACTATCTAAAGCATTACTAGGCACTTCAATGAGAAACTCGAAACAACTGTGTATTAATGCTGCCATTACAACTCTTACAGCCCCAATGAGGCGACAGTAATAAAGTTATTATAATTATTATCACTATTATGCGTTTTTTGCTGCGTAACAGCAGTACAAAATGCATATTGAGACGGAGTTGTCTGTATGTGTGCTTGTTTGTGTGCGTGTGTGTGTCCGTAGTTTTTGTTCCGCACTTTCAGCTCGGGAACCACAAAAGCTATGAAGCTGAAAATTTAGGAAGACATTCCTTGCCCAAATGTGACCCCGCAAATTTAAATTCAGCCTTTCCGGTAACCGCGAGCAACACATACGGCTTCCAAAATTTTTGGTAGGTAAAATCATTGTCTCGGGAATAACGGAAGCTAGTGAGCTGAAATTTTTTGGGCATGTCCTCTGCCTACGTGCGTCTAAGAAAATTTAAAGTCAGCCTTTCCGTGCCCTTGGGTATCACGCACGGCCCAGTGAAAGTTTTGGCGGGGAGATCATCTCCGGAACCATGAAAGCTAAGAAGCTAAAATTTGACAAGAATGTTTCCTTCCCACGTGCAACCCCACCACAAGCGGATCCAGGACGGACTCCTGGAGGAGGTGAGGGAGAGTGGGGTTCCTGGAGAGGGGCGATGAGGACAGAGGGAGGGTGTGCCCCTCGCGGGGAGGACGGGAGGTGAGGGAAAGGGGAGCTATGCAGAGACTGCAAATAGAGTTGAACACTGCTATTTAAAGTCACCTTAGTTTCATTTATGAAAAGATCCAGGCTTTTGCAAAACTGATGCCTGTGCT